AAAAGCCACATACATAAAAAAAATTTAAAGACAATTTAAACAAATACAATTAAAAATTTAAATAAAAAATAAATAAATAAAATAAATAAAAAAAATTAACAAAAATTGTGATTTAAAAAAAAATTGGTCATTCACTCTACCCCTCTTACTAATAACCGTAGGACCAACGACCCGTAGGACCAACGAATACGGGTCGTTGGTCCTACGGGGGTCCTACGGGTCGTTGGTCCTATAGATCGGTCCCCATTTCGTTACGGAGTTGAAATTTGTGTATGACTCTACTATATATTTCAACTGTTGTTTACAATTATGATGTCAGGCCCTCTGCTCTTTAGGTCTTGTTCATTATTACTTTAGATAGGAGGGCAATTCCACGGTAACGGAATTACAATTCAGATAAATTTTTGTCTTAGTTTTACCTGCTATGGCTTAGTCCAACAGCTGAACTGATGAACTAAACCCTTATTAGCAGGCATGAGACATTTCTGCCGTTCGGCGGATTTCCGGCCATTTTAGAACTCCAGATACCATTTCTGAGATCAGTGTAAATTCGAGGAGAAATTTTTTGGGGGGGTAAGAATACCTCCGTGCTCTCTGACGATCGCGTACATGTGAACACACTGTGACTCGGTAACTATCCAGAGCGCTTCTACTCGTATCATTGTCTTAATGTATGCTTGCTAACATAATGATAAAAGCAGGGTACGGCCAAACTTTAGTTGGCATTCAAGAAACGTGTGTGGGATGTTCGGACGCACAGGTTAGCACAGGTTCCTGAATCCAGTAGCAGCGTTGGCATACCAAAAATCGATAAGAAGTGGGTGGAGCTTACTTTTGGCCAGTGGCAGTTAACCTTACATTGTGTTGGCCAGGGTTTATTTACGTGCACGGGTCGTGCAGCACGCTCACTGTTCACGTGCGCTAGGTTGTGGAGTAATTCGCACATCCCCGCGCATTTGGATGTAAACACTAAAGTATCACTGGTAGTTAACAAACGAAGATTTATGTAATATATCATGTTGAATTATACAGTAAATAATAATAATTGTCTCAAGTTTTAACACACATATAATTAAGTCACTGTAGCTGCAAAGCACGTCGTATTACTTACTAGTCATGCAAACAGCAGTACAGCCTCGTCGCACCACTCAGGTTTAACCGTGTCATATTGTTTTTAACGTTTCAACTTTGGAAAAACTATATACATTTTATACAGGGCGTAGCTAAATAAAAGCTTCCCTACGTAAGAGCTTGTATGTCTACAAAATACATTAACTTTGGACACACTCAACACAGACGGACTCCCCAGTGCCCTTCAAAATTTTACAGTAGGTAAATTTTATATAATTTTTTCCTTTTCCACCAAAAAGTGTTGCTAGTTGTAAGCTATTGGAGTACCCTGAAATGGCTCTAGATTGCATCTCAGAGCTTATAATTTTCAAAAATTTCTGGGGGTTGGGCATGCCCTCAGACCCCCCCTAGAAGTTCCCCCCCCCTTTTTTTACCCCCTCCCCTTCCTCCCTTTTCAGCATTTGTCTGTCTCATGCCTGTATTAGTTCTGCTTTTTGGGAAAAACACAGTTCAGAGAAATCCCTTATGCGGGAGGGAGTGTGACCAAGAAAGTGTCGGTAACGGAATTACGGCAGAAAATAGGGTCTTATTTTTACCTCAACTTTCAGAGGAAGTTCTCTGAAATCTATAATAGGAGGGTAACATGTTTTCCATGAAATTTGTAGTCTCAGGTGTTGACTAGACTATGGTGGCTATAATTTGGCTCATATATTCATGAATATTCTGCAGGCAGTGTTTTTTCCAAAAAAGACAGCGGTAATGGAATTACGCCTTCTGAAACTCTCCTAAAATGAGTCACATTTTCAATATCAAGTTGGCTGAAATGGACATTGTGAACACTTCCTATGTTTCTAGTTTTACAATGAACCATAATAAGTCACAAATGTGTGATAAACAACCATAATTTAAGATATTCCTGCAAAAAAACTACTTTAATTGAACAAGAACATGAATATTTCAAATTGTTGGTGAGTACATGGAAGTAAATCGTTGTCATATGATCAGTGGGTTCAAGCACTTCAGTCCTGGCTAGATAAGTTGTTTGCAGTACCTTCTTTGGGCTACCATTCTCTGTGTGATTTACATGGTAACGGAATTACATTCACCCACTGCTTTATAAAGAAATTGTTCAAATCTTCAAATGTTACGTTCCAAACAGATATTTTTGTTTAAATTCCACTTAGATTCACTCTGAGACCTTTCTATATATATCAGCAGAAGTTATTATAATCCACATTATGTATGATTCCACCTGTTGAGCCTGCCTAATATAAAAATATTGATGAACAAAGCAAAACTAGAAGAAAGTCAACAAACTTTCTTCAGGTTACTCGTCAGCAGTGTTTCATTTTTTAAGGGCGGACGATCGCGCTCCGGATCTTAGCGCCTCCACCGCGCACATCATAGGGAGCACAGCAAATTTGTGCCCTGGGCCGTGCATGTCAATCTGCGCCCTCATAAAAGTCGGGTTTGCAATCGAGACGCACCAAAAAGTATGTGTATTATGTGAATACGCTCGCATAGAGTTTGTCAATCGTAGGGGGGTACAAAAGGTTAGGACAACACCACAACAATTTGTGGTGTGTAAAGTAACTTGAACGTATGGACAGATAGGTACAGTTACTACTTTCTGGTTTATACACACTAGATCAACCAGCATCCAAACAAGGTTACCTAACCGGTAGCCACAAGTTAACCCTGCTCGTTTTCCACTATACGTGGCGATAAGGTGGTTTTTCTGCCGACGGAACAACAAGTTTGTACCGGCTGGAGGGGCTAGCATACGTGGGTCTACTAACTTACCAAGAGACATCTTGCTAGTTTGTTGATGGTATTGTGACTTGATGTTTTCGTGCTGAAAATAGTGCATTGGTACAGGGGATGAAAATGAGAACTATATAAACAGTTTACTTTTCTACATCATCGATCAATACTCTTTTATTATATCTGTGTGCTAAAGTGTTGGGCTTGCTTGATGAAAAGAATGTAACTCATGAAACGAACCATTGAATGAACATGAAGGTAAAGATGAATGATAATGCAGTGGATTGACATGACGCATCCAAGATTTTCGTTTTGGATCTCAACTGCTAGACTGGAGGATTGGTGCCATGATTTTTCCCATTCCATCACACCGCCAAGACGCATCGATCGGAGAGGCTTCAATGCAGCTCTCCATCACCGAGCGGCACCTTTTAAGGTTGTGATTTTAGTAGAGCTCTCCCTCAGCCTCTTATAAGCAACGTGCAACCGCGAACACGAGAACCGGAGTTCGAACCTGCAAACACGCACTGGCCGCGAAACACGAGTATACTCGTGGGCAAAATAAAAATAAATAAAAAAAAAAAAATTTGGCAACGTTTACTATTCTCTGATCCTATAGAGTGGGCAGGGGCCTATACCTTACCAATCATAGCGTCCACTGTATAAACGCCCAGTATTAGATGACATGATTTAAACAATACTGTTACTGTTGTTTGGAACGTTTTTGGGAGTTATTTGGGACCTGAGATAATGCTTTTTAGTTTTCAGCCTCGCCATAAGGGCGTTTTATGAGACCGGCCGGTGTTTGTGAAGTTTGTTTTTATGTCATGAAAAGGTTGTGTTTGGATTTGATAAGTCACGGTGATAGATTCCGGTGTTTGTGTTCGATGTCTGAGAGTAATGTTTATATCTATATTATTATACCACTCAATTATAAATATATTTTAATACTAAGTTAAACCCTGCCAAAAACATTTTGTGTAATAGGTGACCTAAGCGTAAAAACGCGAAAGTATCTCAGCACAGGGCGGTAGGTGCATTGTTAACACCAGGGCAGCGTTTGAATACGTGTTAAGGTGTGATTTTTAAGTGGACTTCTCCACATCATGCCTTTAAAGGTGTGATTTATGAGCGTGAAAAGACGCCTCTATGGTGTCCTACGGGGAGTATTAGTAGTCCTCTGTACTTTTCAAATCTGAAAGCCTGCTGTCCATCGAAAAGCAAAGAAAGAAAGGTGAGCTATTCCGCACAGTTATCAGAAACGTCGTCATGAAACAAGGACAGATCGAACCATCCTATTCCACGTGGAAGGTTTTAAATATCTCAGGTAAAAAGTAAATATCCTTGGCCCATTCTGTCTCATTTGCGCCCTTCATTGAGAGTGTATATACAGCGACCCTGTTTACTACTGTCAGTGTCCTCTGTTCAGGCCAAACCCATATTTTTTGAAATGGAGTTGTTTTTCACAAACCTTGACTAATCATCATCACCATCATTTTAATCACCTGCCAATGCTGGTTTTGATTTTTTTTTTCCTTTGATTACCGAAGCAAAGAACCCATTTTTATTCCAGATCCTTTTAAATTTCCATACACAACCAGTGCCATTCCGCGGTTGCTAAAACCCCATCAATCACTGGGACGCGTTGCCATCACCAACACTAACGTCTACACCATGCACGAACATAGGCTACCATCTATCATCCGCCACCATCATACTAGTCATACCATCGCCAACACTGCCTATCCATCATCACCGTCACTGCCATCGCCAACGCTGCACCATCCATCACCTGTCACATCGCCCACACTGGCATACCATCATCACCGTCACTGCCCCACTCGCCACAACTGCTACAATCTCACCGTCACTCTCCCAAGTCGCGCAAACTGCCTAACAATCCTCTACCAGTCACTGCCCAATCGCAGCACGACTGGCTACATCATCCCCGTACTTCCGCATCGCCGAACACTGCCACCATCCATTCCACCGTCACTCCTCGGCCAGACACTGCCACCATCATCAACCGTCACTCCCCAGTCCGCCACAACGCACCATCATCACCACGCATCCCCAGTCGCTCCAACACTGCCAACCATATCACCGTCACTATCCGACATCTGCCCAACGACTGCCACCATGCATTAGGCGTCCTAGCCCATCGCCGAACACTGCTATCAGCGTCACTCCAGTCGCCAAACTACTGCTAACTACCGTCACGTCCATCCGCCCAACACTGCACCATCAACATTGTTGTTTGGCTGTCATCATTACCCCACCAAGCTATCACTGGATATTGTATTTGCAACTTGTGCAATGTCCCACCAGAAGTCGCTTTAGCATGGTTTCTCGATCCTCTCAGGTTAAATACATAACCGCGTTCGATTCAAACTGTTACCCGGTTCTGTCAAACCAGTCGTTAGCCAGACGCATGCGGCTCTGGAGGATCGATCGTAAGCATAGCCGCGATCCACACTCGGGTCGTATAGTGTGCGGCTAGCGCATTGCGCCGATCGAATGAAGTTTGAAAATGAAAACTCGGTAAAATTTTGCCTAAAACCTTGAGAGTCATCCTTAATGTTGCAGCCAAGTGACTTTAAGAGACTGCACATTTCCGCTTCCAAAATTATGCAAATTCCGTTTTCGGAGATTATCTTAAATTCCACTCAAATTAACGTTTCAAGCCAAATTTCTACCATTAATTCAGAAATAATTAAAACTTAAGAGAAAGCACTGATGGACTGCCGTTTCAACATATACTGCACTGATGAGGCTTGAAGAAAAAAAGCCTGTCAATTTGCAAACGTAACTGTCTTGTTTGGTCGTTTATGCTAAATTCTGAGATGCACTCTGGTGAGTTGAGACTTGAATTCGTTTATATTATATATATACTATTTTGTCAGGCATCATAAGTAACATGAAAAAACAACCACTTTCTTTTGACGAGGTTTAAATGAGAATGATAAGATATCATTTTCATAATCAATTATTGTTTACGTTGGGAGTGATTTGAGCTGTTTTAAAAGGTAAATTTTTGTTTTTCGGGAGGTATATTAATTGTGAAACTGGTGACTCGTCATTCCCAAATGGTGATTCCGGCATTCCGTGCCATTTCCGTTTCATGGAAATGTGCAACCTCTACAACTCAAACTTATGATTTACCGCCTTGCAGGAACTTGCACACAGAGAATACCAACCGCACGTGAATTATGCCAGAGGGCAGCGAGGAACACTGTCATGCAAACTGGCGAGGCCAAAGCCAGATAACACTGGAGTCACTGCTGCTGCTCAGCTCCATACATTTCCAGTGCAAGGCGACTAAAGTACGGTTTCTGTACCTAGACTCTCCCCCCCAATTGTTTTATTTACTTTTCCATAATTCAGCGGTTCTCCTACGTGCGCAACGACGGGCGCGCGCTGAGCGCCCCGTGGGAAAACTCCCCCCTGTTTGAATCGTGTGCGCCCGTTTGGGAAAAACTCCCCTGTTTGAATCGTTGCGCCCCGTTATATTCCACCACACATAAAAGTTTCCCAGACGCGGCGAATACTCGGCGCTCAAGAATGCCCAGTTCGCCAGACAGCCGACGCGTGGTATTTTAACAGTACAACGCAGCACTGCAGACAGTAACAAGTTAAACCTGACGAATGCAGATTTACCTGTCACAGCTGTACACCAGACATCGGCTATCTTATAATAAAACACCAAGTCCCGTCTAGTAGGGTGGTGGCGATTTACCATTAATTAGTCGTACGGTAAAAATTACACGCCCCCGCCGGACGCCCCCTATTCACGACCCCCCCCTAGTTCCCCCCTCCCCCTGTGAAATTTCATCCTGGGGAGAACCCTGTAACTTGCATACTCATCTTGTTGTATGCACACGCACGCATGCGGTGTACGTGCCACGCACCATGCCTGCGCGCACGTGTCAGCCATGCACACAACCCCCTCGCGCAGTGTACGTGAGGCACGGCACGCACCGCAGTGTACGTGCAGACAGGTCAGCTTTCCTCCCAGATAGTCTTTGCACCTCTACTTGCAAACTACTGATTTCAAATTCATATTACGGGTTCTTCACCCTGCGTAACTAGACGCCATTGTTTACAGTATACCGGACAGTGCACGCCACTCATCTATGCCAGCGATTAGTAAATGGCGAACGCCACAACCAATGAATTATGGGAGGTATGCAGAAATGCAGAAAGTTGCTGAAATATGTGTACGCAAGGAACTGCCGTATCTGCATAATGCTGCCGCCTAAACCAAAGGGTACTATGTCACTATGGTACTGAAATCTTTGTGCAACGCAGCTGTACGCCTCCCCAGTAACACTGCAACAGCGCGTATGTGTCAGAACCACTTGTCTGGTTGCTTGA